GGGGGGGGGGGGGGGGACGAGTTACATAGGTGATGCGTATAAAAGAGTAACTTATCATATGAGAAAATAAATTAATAAAACAAAAACAATATTTAAATGAGTGTGTTTTGAGTGTAGTATTTATAAATACCTGATTTAGGTTAATTTAATTGCAAATAAAGATTCATTGCTGAGATAGAATAGGAAGACAATTAGTGAATTTTGTACACATTTTGTGTGTAGCATGTGTACATTGTTAGAACAATAAAGCATATTAAATACCCCCATTTTACCCTGTTATATGAGAGAGAAAGCTCAAAGAGGTAGGGTTTCATTTTTAATACATTGACCTACTAGGTAGAAGTAGGATGAGGACTAGAATCTAGTTTTCCTGATATGTAGTCCAGCAGGCCCCTCTGCTCCTTCCCTTTTCACTCTGAGTTCTGTTCTGTGATTTTTATTTCATAAATTGTTATAGCCTCATTTTCACTTATAGAAAGAGTGAAAGATCTTAGAAATATTACCTTCATTTAGAAAAGCACATAGTGCTCTCATGTTCTAATATATGACATTTACAGCCTTTATCAATTGCTTTTTATATTCAAAATGTTTTAAAAGCCATGATAAAGATTCCTCCTCCTCTATAATGGCTACGTAATAAGGAAAGTATACTCATTTCCAACACAATATTTTCATAGCATTTTAGCACCTCTTTGTAAATAGCAGAGGGCCTTTTGTCTTCCTTCCAGTAGGTCTTCAGAACAGGAATAACAACTTGGGATCTCACTGGGATTGACTGATATCTTTGGGATTAGTTTAGGCCATCCTAAATGTTGGTGTCACAGCAAACCAAATGTTCAGGTTGCCATAGCAGGGCATCCTACAGCTTCATCAGAAATGTTTGCTCAGTTGGGCTTTTAGGGGCCTTTTAGAGCATCCACAGGCCCCCTCGCAAAAGTCCCATCAGTTTTATTTTGGTCAAAGCCCATTTCTCCCTCTTAACTCTGAGACTAACCTATTCTTTGACCTTGGATAAAACACAGCTTCTCTTCCACTTAGTTTCAGGGCATAACACTGTCCGTAGTTGCACTTGAGCTTGATAAAAGAGTGTTATTACCATGGGAGAAGAGAATCCGTAAAAGCCTTCGTATTCGGTGGATGACAAGTGAACAAAGAATAGTAGCTCATTTCACATGGTCTGGCACCGAGTTTCCTCGGTGTCCCTTCTCTGGAGAGAACACAGTGATCCTCTCGTGATGAATTTCCCTTTCGCCACAGATGACAAACCAAAGGAGCAGCTGCAGAGGAGTCTCCCAAAAGTGACCGAGACAGGCTGCCATGACGAAGGCTGCCACAACCCCGAGGCCGCGGAGACACGGAGCAGCACTCCGGAGATGCCAGCCGTGTCTGCGTTCTTCAGTCTTGCCGCGCTGGCAGAAGTGGCCGCCATGGAAAATGTGCACAGGTGAGCGGTGTGCTCCGCCAGGATGTCGGGGCTCCCGGTCAGCCTAACCCCGTTGTGTGGAGCAGGGGTAGAGCCACATGGAAGCCGAGTCCTGCTTTCTGACTCCATGTGCGGGGACGTCATGACGCCTCTCGCTGCCGCTTCCACCAACCGGGGCCTGTGCCGTCAGTCAGCTTGAGCCACGTCAGGCTCCCGCCTTCTTTGCTCTTTCCTTGGACTCAGCTGGCTTCCACCCCAATCTCTCTCTGTCCCTGTTGCTCTTTTTTGTATACTGTACTTTCCCAGCTTTCACTTTTCTTTCTTCTTCTTAATGTTTCCTTTTTCACTACTTATTAAAATTCTTTTCAGCTGTTGTAATATTGTTACAGATTCAGTCTTAAAGGTAAAAAAAACAGCCTTTGAATTTCATCTTTCTTGAACAAAGAGTTGAACATATTGAACAGTTGGTGCTTACAGCATCCCCACATGAATGAACAGATTAATCCAGAGGTTTGATTATAACACATGTTTTGTTTTTCTAAAATCCTAATATCTTAGGCTAAGTGATTTTTGAATTCTGAAGTTCCCAAATGTTGTAATTTATCAACACTATTTGTGTGTGTGTGCATCAAGAGAAAGAAACTTGGGTGTAGCGATGAAAAAGATACAATTTGAATTTTTAAGTAGCTCCTTTTGTTCTATGAAGATACGGTGTTGAAAAGGTCAAGCCACCAGAAGCCAACGATTTCTGCTGTGCAGACCACGGTAGGCCAGAGCCGCGAGTGGATGGTATCTGGTCTTCGGGAGGCCTCCTGGGAAATGTCAGGGAGGTGCCCCATCCCGTCTTTTTAGAATGAGAAGCTCTATAGAAATTACCAAGAGTGTGAAGGGTTTCCTTATTATAACGGTGAAGTAAATTTTTTCCTACTCACTTACCAAAAGCCAAATGAGAAATCAGGTCAGTCTGGTGTAGTTCCAATCCAAATGATGGGTATTTCTGTGAACTTGCTGGTCGTGTCTGGAGTCCCCTCTCCTGCATGTGTTGATTTGGCCCACGCCGCCCCGATTTACACACACTCCAAAGCCAGTGTCTCCTTGCCACCTTCCCTGAGCACATGCTCGCCATGTGCCTGTGAGACTTTTGTCTTTTCCTTCATCTGTGTTGGAGTCACAGGCCCTCTGGTCTCAGGGACCGTTGTTTTAATTGGCCTTACATTTTAAATTGGGTTGATTATTATATAGCTGAGGAAATGAGCCTGGAGGTGATCAGTTAGTACAGGAGAGTTTTCCCCTTGGGCAGCTCGAGGAAAGGCATGGTTCCTATATTAGTATCAGTGGATCAAGAGGAAGAATGTTGTCTTAGAACCGCGGCCTTTGACTGAAAGTTCCCTGCTTCTCAGGGTGTCGCCCCAAACCTGGTGGCACTTCAGGTTCCACCTCTGCGAAATGGAGGTGGTTATTTGGGGGCAGAGTATGTTTTTAAGTCATGTGAGGGGAACCGAGATAAGAAAGAGCGTTAAGTAACAAGTCAGCCTTAGGGATTATGATACCGGAAAACTCTTAACCGGGTACTCATCATCCTCTCCTCCTCCTGATAACATATTCTCAGTGGGTGACTTCTTTTGTCCTTCTCCTTGTTTTGCAGAGGTCAGAGGTCAACTCCGCTCACGCACGACGGACAGCCAAAAGAAATGCCCCAGGCTCCTGTACTTATTTCCTGCGCTGACCAGTGAAGCGCCCTTTAGTTGTAAAACATTGTGCTTTACCTACTACCCTAGCCTTGTCTTTACCGAGGGATGCTAGCGAGTCCGTGTGGTGGGAAAGACAGACTGCGAACAAGTGCTCGTTGCCCTGCGTGGCCCAGATTCACTTGAAGCGGAAGTTAGCATCCTGGGCCAGTGTGTTCTCTTGGAACCTAGAGCCTCTGAGGGTGATGTTATCTGTCTGGTAATGAGCAGAAACGGCATGATCCTGGAGCTTTGCTTTCTATTGAAGGCTTTTGACGGTAATAGGTGGTAACTTGGTAAGAGGCTGCCTTTACTGTAGCTCATCCAGCATCTCTTTTACCAACCAGAGAGTGTGAAACTAGTTTCGTATATTACCTAGTTATTCTTTCAAAACAAAAACAAAACAAAAAAACAAAAACTGACGCACTGCACTAGTTATTATTAGATATTCTTAGTCTTTTTTGTACATGGAGATTTAAGTTCTAAGATGGTTTATATAATAGGTTATACCTACATTTATATTGTAGAATAATATTAAAAAGCCTGTTCCAGAGACTCCCAAGCAGCACGGGCAGGCAGATGTACCATTGTTAGCGGTGTATGCTCGGCCTCGTGGTCCATATATTCTGCACTTTTATATATTTGCCACCAGAGTGGTAGTTTGCTGGCAAAAAAAGAGAGAGAGAAAGAGAAAAAATTAGAATTCTTACAAGCTGAATTTTTTTTCTTAGCCTTGAGTGACCAAGAAGAATTTGCTTGGGGCACATTGTGGCAAATATTTTCCCAGACAGGGGAAGAGTCCTGCAGATTACAGAATACTGATGTTTTCATGCCTTGAGGATTCTTTTATTTTTTACACAGGGGTCTAAGTGACCAATGGATCGTTCATACAAACAAAAAAAAAAAAAAAAAGAAAAATATTATTCAGAAGTGACCTTAGTATTACTTCACTATTCTGAACACATTGAAGACACTCACTTCATGTGGACTTTGAGCTACAGACCTTTTCCATCCATCCCCAACAGACTGGACGGGTAGCAGCCGCTATGCACAGCCTGATTACCACTGCAGGGTTCTAGAGCCATTTCGAGTTGTGTGTTGTGAAGGAGGTATGGAATAAATGATGAGGGAGGTATGCTTGACCAGGGTGGGAGTCTTAGTCATAGAGCCACCTGCAAGTTTGTTTCCTTTCTGTGTTCTGTTGCTTTTGGACATTAAACCAACCGTACACATGCCAGTGCCAAGCGGATTACCTGGCTTATTAGAACGTTCGACATATTGACTTAACCACCTGACATTCACAGTGTCTTGTTTCCTAGCAACACATGCAGAGTGATAGAATTAGCCGGAGGCTACCGATTTTACAGGGTATTTGTCCATAGCACAGAGTGTATCCCCACTCTCGCATCGCAGCACAAACTACCAAATTTTAATTATTGGATTCCAGCAATAATTTTTATTGGTTTTCAAACTGGCAGAATTTTGATAGCGTTAGTTCGAGTTCAAAGCTTTTGAATTAGATCTCTACATGGTAACAGTTTACAAGGTTTTATCTAGCTTTCTTATTTATACTTGACTCAATTGTAATGATGATTTTTTTTTTTCTAATTGTAATTTGACCTAATAGCCATACAAAAAAAAAAAAAAATGACTCTGTTAGTACTGACTAGGTTTAGCTTTCCATAGTTGTAGATATTACTTCAGTTTCGGTGCTGGAAAATATGTACAACATACTAACAGAATTGAAAAAGAATATAGGGATTTGGTTTGTTTGTTGTTGTTTTTTTTTTTTTTCAAAGCAGGTAAAGAGGGCAGCAGAGCATTGGAACGGTGTCCTCAAAAATGCATAATCATTGTGGGCATGGAGGAAGAAGGAAATAGTAAGCTAGGTTAGTCAGAGGTTAAAGCTTAACCCTATTCACATAGAAATAAATCAGGTGAGCAGCCCCAGATTTTAGTGTAAGATTTTTACTATGATGCTGTTTTATTAAGATTTTCTAAACTTCAAAACACAAAGTGAATGTTTGAAAATTGCTGGGTCCCGGTGTTGGTGGCTGTTGGAGTTTTTGGACCACTTGCTAGCAGTGATTTAGAAATTATAATTAGCTAAAAATCCAAAAGAAAAACCAACAACAAAAATTGTTTGGTGCAGAACATGCACCTTGACAATGGTACTAACTTGTTATTCTATAGAACACGTTAGAATAGATCTATTTTTGCCAGAGCACCCTCCGTCAGTCCTCCAGTTACATTTCACTAGATTTCCTTAAGAGATTGCTGTATATTCATGGGACCTTTTTTAAAAAGAAGCAAAACAAAAGATTACTTTTTTCTATGTGATTAATATCTTACTTGATCTGCTTTTCCTAAACCTCAGTGGCTTTTCCCTTAGGCAGGGGTGGGGTGGGAGGGCAATCTACTGGATATGACTGTTTTCAGATACTTTAAAAAAAAAAAAAACCTTTTTGTAGAAATGCTTAATTTTTAAGCGGTTAGGCACTGAGAGTAGCAGAAATCCTGCAAAGCTTTATAGTCCTTTAGACACTCGCCTTGTTCCTCTGAGTGAAGTCTTGATTTCAATAATAGTGCTTTTCTCATGCCCTGAATCCGCTGGAGAGGGGTGTTGGTATTTTCAGGTAACAACATTTGTTAGCACAAATATTTCAGACCAACTTGTAGTGCCCCCCCATCTATCATTTTCATTTCATTTCTCTCATTCTTTTATATTTTGGAAAATCATATTGCTATGGTGTGTACTTTAATCTGCCAGCAAACACCATCGACACTAACATTTGTCCCACAAGCATCCTCAAGAGAAAAAGTTGTTGCACCTTATGTATATCTCAAGCAAACCAAAATATGATGCTTTTCTGCTTTGTTTTATTCTAAATTGTTGTATCATATCTTTCTGAAAAACCATTCTGAATCTAGTTGAAATTATCGATATTTATGCTTTTAACCTTAATTTCTGGATTCAAACCTGTATATAAATCTTTTGAAAAAAATTGTCCTAGCCCTTCTCTGTGATGCCGAAGTGGATGATTTCGTCTCAGATGGAGACGCAGTACTGTTCCAGTTTCTTTAGCCTTTTATTTATTTAGTTATTCTGGGTATTTTCCTATGTAATTTTGAAGTGTGTAGAGTATATTATAGTAACTGAAGCTGCAGCTCTATGAAGCTGAGTGAAAGAAGAAAAATACTGTAAGACATCCTTCTTAAGTTTTTATTCCTTTGAATAACTGTAATGAGATCAGGAAAAGGAAAAATGTCCCCCAGCCACATTGATGATACAGGTTCTTATCCCCAAATTAGGTTAGTTCCCAGATTTTAGATCAAAACGTAATTCGTCAAAGCCCTTTTATAAGGATAAGTCATACTGTTGTGATTCTGACGGTCTTTTCCCCACAAATACCAGAACTGTGTTCATTGAGTTCTGTCAGATGAGCTTTCTACCAATGCCAGCTCAAAGCCATGCTGAAATCATTCCCACATTATCACTGATTCTAGTTCCTGCCATTAAAACTGCTGGAGAAAAAGAAAAAAAAAAAGGTGGAACACTCTGAACAAAAAGGAGCATCTGAACTGGTCTGGTTATTTATATTCCAACAGGTTTATTCCCTGTCACTTTGTTACCCAGTCAGATGCTATTCTGCCTAAGTCCTAGAAAATTTTGTTTGCACTCTGCAGTCTTTGGCTCATCGTATGGAAAAGTTTGCACCTCTGTAAAATCTCAAGCAAATTATAAATTGATACAGTGAACCAGGAGTAAGCCGGAAACTGAATGACATGTTTTGTTTGTTCGGGGTGGGGATGGGGGGAGGGAAGGAGGGTATCCAATAACTCTGTTCCAAGTTTGGCGTTTGGCATTAATGTGAAGCAGTGGGACCGTGCTGCCTGCTGAACTACTGTATGAATTCCAAGCGTTCTGGAGGCCGGCGGCCGGCGACCACACAGCAGAAGGGAAGTGCCACCGCCTCGCCGGGGAGAAGGAAGGAAGTCCAGCAAGGCCTGGAACCGCCCCTTTGTAAAGGGGGAGTCGAGGTGTCCGTGATGCTGTTGTGATGCTGTTGAGGAGACTCGCCTTTGATTGCACTGCTCCCTCGGGCCCTCACGTGAGGCCAATCCTAACGGGCGACCTCAGCTTCAAAAGTTCTTTTCAGTAAGTCCTGTTGGCGAGCTTTGTCCTTCCTTGCTCCTCCCTTCAGTGCCACTGTTTCCCACTGCAGTGTGATTTCCCAGACCGCCTTCTCCAGAGAGAACAATGTATTGCTGAAAATGGGCAGTAGAAGCAAATGTCATTACTACATCTGACCTATAAAGTATTCAGAGTGACTGCTAGGTGGAAATTAAATTTTAGCTTTCCCCACATAGGACCTTGTTTTGCACCTTACACAGAGTGTACTAATTGTTAATTAGCTGTTGTTTTTATTTATACAAGCATTCCCAAAGAACTAGATTTGGATTTTGTTTTTATTTGAGTTTTGGGATTTTTTTTTTTTAATTATCTTATTTAGATTGACTAACATCGTACTTATAATAAGAAACAGTTGTTCAGTTTATCTTACCAGGTATGTCTGGTGAAGTATTCAGGGTTTGATGGACTGCTTTGCTTTAGTGTGGAAATGATAGCTAAGTTTATTATACTCCATATTAAAACACCTTGTCCTGTTCACTGGGGACACTATTTTCTTTACATCTCAGATGAAAGAAGTGACAAAATAATGAATAACAAGACAAATCTGTTTGACTCCCCTGATACACCTCCATCTGTTTGTGCTATGCTTTCCTTAAAAAAATAGAAGTATACATTTTCCTCACACCCAAAAAAGAGTGTCCTCTCCTGGCCAAATCTTATTTGTGGTGGTAGGACTTATGCTAATAAATTGAAAGGAGGAAACCTTGTACTAAGTTCTATGGCCACCGTTTCCTTGTTGCAGTCCGTGGTCAGAATTGATCCTGCCCTCAAATCGATTTTTGTGCGCAGAACTAGTTATCGTGAGAATTACTACTCCTTCCAAAGATCGCCCAGTACCTTGGGCCAGAACCGGTTACCGCGAGTAACAAGGACCTAATTCGATGCCTCCACACCCTCCCACCCGCACTGCAAATCATACCTCACAGGCTCTAACCTGAATCCCAGAGGCACGTGGGTTTTGCGAACTAACACCGCTGTCCCTTTGCAGCCCCCAGGGGCTGGCTCGTGTCCCCTGACGCCTCACGTTAGTGCCTCGGCTGTGAGAGCAGCAGAACTGGGGGTGAGGCAGGTTTGTGACCTGGAGCTCAGCACGTGCTCAGCAACGTTCTTCTCATTTCCTTCGCACTAAACAAGTCTCTTGCTCTCAGGAATTTGTCCAAAAGAAAAAAATAAAAACACCTGAGATTCCATGTACCAGATTATGAACTTTTCTCATAGGTTTGAATTGCTTACTTACATGTCATAAATTAACCGTAGCTTCATTTGACCACCGGGTCTGAAGTCTGTTGACAGTTTCAGCATGACTGAATCGCTCATTTTTTTGCTTTCAGAAATTGGCTTGGTTCTCTTTAGAGTTGGTGTAAACATGCCATGTAATAAATGATTTCCACTTAATGGTACAACAGAATTATTGCTTTCTTAGATGTATGTGTAGTAAAAGTCAATATACACATTTATATAATTTCTTTCTTCAAAATCTTATACTTAATTTGATATCTCTAAAAATTGCACATGTAAGTCATGTGTATAACATGCTAAAGTACTTTAACTGTGATCTTAAAACTGAATAAAAATATTTAATAAAAATTTGAAATATTTTAAAGAGATTATTCAAATACATTTCTTGACGTTCACACTCCTAGCCAGAGGGTCGGTGCCTTCAGGAGACCCTATCTACGAAAAACAGTAGGGAAAATACTTTAACAAAAGATATCTCAGCTATGTCCGAATGTCAAATGCTGGTCTCCCCCAAACTGTTTGCCTGAGACTCCCCATGTTTGAGCCGCCCGAGTTGCTTTCCCCTTATGGGTGGAGTAGAAATCAGCCTGACAAGAAAGAAGATAGGCTTCCTTCTGCTACTTAAGAGGAGAGCCTCCTGGCAAAACATACCAACTTCCCCCGAACTGTAATCAAACTGAAGTGATAGCATTAAGACTATAACCCAGAGTATAAATTCAGACCTCAGTTTTGCTGAATACAATGTCCCGAACCTTAGAACCTTGGATGTTCTCTTAATCTTTCAGAATAGCACATGCCCATGGGCGTGCGGTGTATAAATACAGGGTATAATGATATCGCAGGCTTTGCGTTCAGACAGACTCGCTTCAAAGTCTGGTTCTACCCATTTATTATTGGGTTTCTCAACCTCCCTGAACTCCACCTCACTTACTAAATGATGGTGGTGATAATGCCTCCTCACATTTCTGCTAGGATGAAAAGGAAGTACATAGGAAAATGTTGGCATAGTGCCTATAAGGGGAATGTCCATTAAATGCTAATTGTGGATTTCATTTTTACTCAACTCGAAGGTCGGTATATTTAAGTATATTCAAAAGAGACCGTAAGTATAGCTAGCTCCCTTTTTCAAATAAATTTGTAAGGGCCTGATGCATTAGGAGTAAGCTCAGTCAGGAGATAACATGGTATAGAAAACTCAGAACACGTTACATTCACGTAGGTAACTCACACTTGTATATGTAGCGCTATAGGATTTGTCCATAAAATTAGTCTGCTTGGTGAATTACATGTTCTAGTACTCCGGCACGCTTTTTTGAATTACTGAGAATAAAATGTCTTGTGCTGGGGACGGGGAGCTCCATACCAAGGAATGTAAATTCTAGGACAAAAGATGACAGGTTATACATACGTGTGGTTTGATGGGTCCACGTGGATTCTACAATACATCCATCCTTTGGGGTAGAACATAAAGTCTCTTGCAAGGAAAAAGTAAAGTGGTTACCAATAAGGGAGCTAAAACTAATAGCACCGATGCCATTCTGTGCATACTGAAAACATAAAATTGTTAATCGTCATTTTTCAGAAACCTTTTCACCTTTTGAAAGGATGGAAATTTTCAAGTATATGCAGAGGTAAGAGACTAGCATACTGAACTCCCTGGGCCCATCGCCCAGCTCCAACAAATACCAACGTTTTCTCAGTTCCAGTTTCATTTGTATTTCACCCGTTTTCCTTCATTTCACCTCCCAACCCTAGCTCTGCGTATCCCAGAAGTGTGATTTCGTGTATAAATACTTCAGATACAGCCTTTAAAAACAAATATTTTGATATGCACAAATTTTCTTTTTTTTTAATGTATCACCCCCTCACGATTCCAAAAATACGTTTGCTTCCTGCCCAAAGCAAAAGGAATCTGTGAGCCACAAGAAGAGTCGTGCTGGAGTGAAGATTATTTGGAATTAGGTTATGCTGTTCACATTGGATATCTCTATATTTACCTTTCTTGATCCGCAGTTTTCTAAAGAGATCATCAGAGAGACCCTTTTCTTGGCATGTCTTTATTTTTCGTCTTGCTTCCTATGATCTTTCCCTTTTTTTCCAGACAATGTCTAAAAAGGCCCAGGGGCTAAAACTTTTATAATTTTATGTAAAATTTTCAGGAATTTTCCCTCCAAGCCTGTTCCCACTTATGTTTTCCTCTCCCAAGAGCGATGTTGGTTGTAGGGGAACAGTAGAGGTAAATTTTTAGATGAGCTCTGGAAGGCAGGTGGCCCAAGATTTAAAAAAATCTGAAATCCTGGGTCAACAGGCCAGAAATTAAAGCGTAAAGTGAAACCCCTCCTGGAAGAGGTAAATTGATAATTCCTACTCGAAGGCTTAGCCCACTTGGAGATCCCTCACCCCCGGAATTTTACAAAAGGTCATTTTGTCTCAAGGTTGTATATTGCAGAGTCAGAAAAGAAAGATGTGAGGATTGAAACTTTCTTGAGAATGATGGAGGATGAAAGGGGACCAGGGAAAGTTCATACAAATAGGTCTTTCAAGTTCGATGTCTAAAAGTCAAAATGGTTTTAAAGCCAGCGTGAAAAGATTTCCAAGAAATGCGCTCAAGGATAATGATTACGTTTTCCTGATCTTTTCTACTATTTGGCATCATACCTGTGGTGCTTATGAAAGGCAAATTGAATAGATACTATAATTCATATCTTCCAGAGACCAGCAGGAACGTATTGAAAAGATACATAGAAACAGTAGAAATACACTCAGTAGATGTAAAAATAGGTAATTTGCCATCTAATTTGAAGCTTGTATTTGAAATACACTTAGTAGGAAAGCAGTATTGATACAGATAATTATTTTTCTCCAAGATATATAATCCTTGAGATAAATACTGGAGAAATTCAGATGGTGTTTTAGAATTTTAAATTTTCACTTCTCCCATACTATATCTTAGCTTAGGTATTTATATAACTATATTAGAAATAAAAGCAATATTCTGCACAAGTCCTTGAAAATCTAAACCCTTTTTGTAAATAGAATATGAGGTATTTAACACACTGATGCTAGCCTTACCTGCATTAAAGCTTACTGTGTATCCATCAAAATCAAAACTTTTGTTAAAATAAAAATTGCTTAAAAACAGTGCTCTGTTCCACTTCTCTGTTCAAAGCCCATGAAAATTATTTCAGCTCACTTGTTTTCACTCCGGAAGAGTTCTTTGTTATCCACACCTCATGTCCATTAAATTGTTTCTGTCCTGCTCCTATAACAATCTAATCGTTCAGCAGAGCTGCAGTGGATGGCTGCTCTTAGATACGGGCCAAGTCCCAACAAGACTCATCTTCCGCTGTGTATAGCCTAGCGCGGGTGTGGATAGCCTAATGGGGGTTAGAGATCTGCAACATTCTTTTTTTTTTTTAAAGATTTTATTTATTTATTTGACAGAGACACAGTGAGAGAGGGAACACAAGCAGGGGGAGTGGGAGAGGGAGAAGCAGGCTTCCCGCAGAGCAAGGAGCCTGATGCAGGGCTCGGTCCCAGGACCCTGGTATCATGACCTGAGCCGAAGGCAGATGCTTAACGACTGAGCCACCCAGGCGCCCCTGCATCATTCTTTAATTGAAATGCAATACAGATGAGGTTGGGCATGAAAATCAAAGGCAGTCAGGAAGAAGCTACATATAAACTCATGGGAAACTTGGTAATCTGCATTTCAGAGACTTTAAGGAAAAAAAATGGGAATGTGTTACTGTTCTACTTTAAAATTTTTATTTTTTTAAAGCCCTTTCTCATAGAAGAGATCTTGGCACAAAAATCGCTGCTAAGACAAGGCCACAGATCGCGGAGAATGACAAGAATGAGATAACAGTCTTTGGGGAAGATCCATGATGCAGTGTATTTCTTTTAGGTGTGTGCTGGGGCATGCAACATCCCAGCTGTGTTGACTCCGGGACCCCTGAGCAATTAGACAGCACATCGGCTTAGCCTCGGCACAGCCTAGGAATATTTGAAATGGTAAGGTCAAGCAGCACGGTTTCAGCATTTGGCCTTAAGAGTTAGAGGTAATTCTGATAGCCAGAGAGTGTGATTCTCTGACTTTCTTTTCCTTCTCCCTTGGCTGTCTCCTTTCCTCAATCATAGTCTCAGGTCTTGCGTATTGCTGAGGTGAAATTTTTCCAATTGTTGCATTTTTCTTCAGCAATGGCACACCTCCGTGCTTTCGCACCCTTCATACACAAAAGCTGTATTAGGTGTCCCTTTCTTTCTTCCCCACTGAGAATATCTGTAAGGATTTCATGACTGAGGTGGATGACTGGAGCAAGAAAGAACTGTTGGGAAAGATTCTAGTTTTTGATGTGTTGCCACTATTTCAATTGGGGTCTGTGTGCATGTGAGACTTTTATTTGCTAATCCTCAGTCATTAAAAAGGACTTTACTGGGGCGCCTGGGTGGCTCAGTCGGTTAAGCGTCTTCCTTCTACTCAGGTCATCATCCCGGGGTCCTGGGATCAAGCCCCGCACGGGCTCTCTGCTCAGTGGGGAGTCTGCTTCTCTCTCCCTCTGCCGCCCCCGCCCCCATCCCCCTGCTCATGCTCTCTCTCTGTCTCTCTCAAAGAAATAAGTAAACCTTAAAATAAAAAAATAAGGGCTTTCCTAGAAGGAAGTACCTATTCTTATTTGGGACTGCAGGATTACCTCCCCTTTGGGAGTACTTCACTGAAGGCTGTGGATCTACTTTTTAAACTAAATATTCATCTCAGTATGGCCAAATCAACCCCCGTCCCCTTTTTAGGGATTGATAGTTAAAGGAATTCTTTCCACTCAGAAAGTATGTGCTTTAAAAAGCAAGATGATTTCTCTTAGGGCTACAAACTGCACTGTAATTTATGCATGAATTTAGAAAAGTTTGAGAATTTCAAGAGTTTAATTTGGAGTTCATCAGGCATCTGTCTGTGCCCACCCCCCCCAACGAAGACTGCCAATGAGATCTGTGTTGCCAAAGGGCTTCATTGGTCTTCCTCTCCCCACTTCCCAAAGATCTGACTTTCCATGAGTGGGTTACTATGGAGCAACATTCCTTAAGGACCTAGTTGTGCTGAGGACCTGGCTAAAGCCACAGGAACAATGACTGTCTTCACCCCACAAGCCCACCCGATAGGGCACCCGAAATTCCAAGGGGGATGCAGAAGGTCCACTGTTAAGCATGCCACCATCCTCCCTAGGACACCGTTCAAACTAGAATCAGACCAACATCTTTTCTTTTATATATGAACATTTACCCATGTGAATTACTTTTTTTGGGTTCCTCTTTCACTCCTACCCACACATCCAATATTCCATATGCCTTCTTTTAAGAAACAAATGG